GTTGCAGATCACACAAACACATGCACAGCTCCTCTTTTTTTTTTTTCTTTTTTCTTTTTTTTTTTTGCTGCGGTAGCAGCTTTGCTGGCTGGACTGTGCTAAGAGGGTGAACTTTGCTCCTGTTTCATGTTAGTGACGGGAAATGGAAGATCAGCTCTAGGGGATCATCTCGCTGGTGCTGCCGCCGCTTCCTCTGGTGCAGGCGTGTGGTGGAGGGGCTGGGTTGGGAAGTCGCAGGCAGGCTGCAGCTTGCTCCATTAGACTTTATTTACATACACACTAGCTATGTGCAGAGAGGAGCTCTGCCTGTGCCTCTGAGGTGGTGGTGGTGGGTTTTGGAAGCTGCCTGAAGAAGCCTCCTCTAGCTGGAAACCTCCTGAGGGCAGCGAGGGGGCATGCAGGAGGTCTGAGCCGGGGAATGGGTTTGAGTGCTAAAGGCAGCGCGGTGCTGAGGTGCTGGGGAGCCCGGTGCCGCTGGAGGCGGGAGCAGCAGCTGAGTCCCTCCTGGTCCGGCGTGGCTGGAGGGCGGCCTCGGCCCATCTTGGACATGTCCTACTCCCGTCACTTTCTGGATTTCCAGGGCTCGTCTATCCCCAGCTCCATGAAGAAGCTGGTGGTGACAAAGCTGAGCTCAAACTTCCGAGACGCGGTTACCCTGCGGCAAGACTCGCCTGTGCCACTCCCGGGAGATGGAGACCTCCTTGTCAGAAACAGGTGAGAGCCTCCCCCCTCCCCTGCCGCCCCTCGCCCTGGCCTCGGGTCCTTCTCGCCCCAAGCCTGCTCCCCCCGGCTCCCCGCACCCGGCGGGCCTCTCTAACACACACACCACATGCTCACTCACTTTGTGATCACATACACTCACTTTGATTGCACACATACACACACATGCTCACTTTGTGATCACACACATGCTCACTCTTGACCTCACACACAGACACATACTTATTCTGTGATATCACACACATGCACATGCTCACTCGTGTTGTGATCACACACACGGATGCTCACTGTTGATCACACACACAGACACATACTCATTTTGTGAAATCACACGCATTCACATGCTCGCTCATTTTGTGATACACACACACGCTCACTCACTTTGTGATCCCATCAAGTTGCACCAGCTGCCATCTGGCGACTGTTAATTTAATTTTAGTATTATTGTTGTTGTTTTGAACGTCTGATGCCACCGTACTTTCTTCCCCTCATCCTCCCCCGTGTGCTTGCGTGTGTGTGTCTGTGTGGGGAGGGGGGTCTCTGTGGGGGGGCTGCTTTGGGGGTTGCTTTCCCTTGCCCATGCAATGAAACACATCAGGCGCTCTCAGGCGAAGGAAGGAGGCAGCTTCTCCCCCCAGTTTTACTTCTCGTTTTGCAAGGCTGGAGAAAGGGCAGCAGCATCTGCAAGCTGAAAGTTTTCCCCTTGAGTTTTTTTTTCTTAGGAAGAACTAAAACAACCAGGAAATGACTTCTAAGTCCCTCCCAGGTTTCTGTCTGTCTGTGTGCTCGTTACATGTCCGTGCAGCCATCCACGGACGTGTCACTCTCCTTATCTTCGCCATGTCGATGTCTTTGTGACACCAGTGCCTGGGCACGTTACTGTAGCCCTGGGCTTGGGTGGGGGCGGTATGTGTTGCAGACATGCACCCATGTGGGGTGGGTGTGGTGTTCTGTGTACAACCTTGTGTATGTTTCCTTTCTGTCTGCTGCCTCTTTTTTTTTTTTTTTTTTTTTTTTTTTTTTTTT